CTATTATTCATACAAAGAAAAAAATAAATTACCGTATTTTTCAAGAAATTAAGACTGAATTTAAGTGACGATATTTATAGATTACGGAATCGTCCATGTTAGATTAATAACTAAGAACAAACCGTAAGAGAATTACTGTGGCATCTTCGTCTTGTAGCGGGAGTCGCCTGGTTCCCTCGGCAGTTCCTTTGCGCAGTTGTAAATATACCCATCCAGCCCATATCGTGTGGTGGTATTTGTCAGGGCACTCGAAAATGGTCGTTTACTGTGTGGAATCATGTAGGTTTGAACACCGCCGTTGGAATTATTAGTGAGGGGCATTGTGTGGAAAGCGGGCCACTCCGAGTCCGCCATAAAGTGTACGTTTATGAGGATAATAATAATGAAAGGTCAGCCGTATGGTGGTGGTGGTGCAGATATTGGTGCCGCCTCCTGGCCTCAACATGCAGCGTTATGGCGGACACTTTATGCTCCCTTTTACTACTTAACTGCTTTTATTTCACAGTTGTTCCTTAAGTATCTCCTTCTGTGTGTATATAGGTTATCTCGCTGCCTTTTATTTTCCATTATGTCTGTCTTTTATATTGTGTGTCTTGGATCTTTCTGTTTTGTTGTTATGCGTATCTTACTCCCGTGATCTCTATTGTTCTCTTCTCTCTCACTTATTCTTATGTCCATTCTCTTATTCTGGTCTCTTTTTTGTTGCCTCATAATCTTATCTTTGTTGTGTTGTTTATATTCTGTTGCCGTGTTCTTTCTCAGCACCAGTCTGCCAGACATGTTCCTCCAATCATTTTCTGACGCAGGGTATCATGTTTTCACTCCCCCTCAACACGTGTCGCTGTGGCACCCAAAGTTGACGGATGGAGGTTTCGTATCAGCAAGACATCGTTACTCAGTTATATAGTCTGTCAGTCGGAGAGGTTGGGACACTGACAAACCTCCATCAGCGGGTGTTGTAGGCGGGCACTGTGGGAGATAAAAGTGATAGAGATATTAAAAAAAAGTCAACATTACTCCTTGCCAAGAGAGGTATTGAGGCTGGCGCACAGCGCTTAATTTTTTTGAGGTTTTGGTGCCGTTCTTTCGAGTTATTTCTCAAGTGGGGATAACACTGGGAAGTCAGAATGTGCCACTCGAGGTGGGGGTTAAGACGCAGGAAGGAGTGGCGAGCCCAGAAACGTCGTCAGGTTCAGTAGACACCAGGAGGAAGACTACAAGGGACAGTTCTTAAGCTTGTGGCTGCGGTGGGTCGATAACTATAACGGGGGAATTTTTGACACGGGAGGTTGAGTACCTGGAGATGATTGGTGGGGGGTACCGCAGCGCGTTACTGTATTGTAGTGGTGTATATTGCTGTGGTGTATATTGCTGTGGTGTATATACTATCGTTGTATATTGGTGTGGCGTCTGGTGTTGCTTTAGGTATTGCAGTTGAGTGAGGCAAGCACACGCCCCGGCCCCATTGTACAGTTTGTTGTTGCTTGTGTCCTTCCAACTCCTGCTTTATGCCAGCACCACACCTGAGGGCTGGCCAGCATACCTGTTTACCTGAGCGGCCGGAGGATGGCGTGATGTAAGATATGCTGAGATGTCGAATTTCTGATCAGTAATAGCTTGCAGTCTGGATTTACAGATTTTTACAGATTGCCCACGAGGGGCTAGTTTATTGGGCACCCCCTTACATCCTGTGCAAGGTGAAGCGCAGAAGCGTTTACAGTGCCCAACTGGGAAGCATGCGGAGTTCATGCTTGCCTTTATGACTCGAGAAGTTGCTAGGGAGGAAGGCGAGGAGCTAGGTCAGGCGAGGGTCATTGCGTAGATGTGGTAACATGCTGGGTCAGGAAGGGTCATTGTAGGTGTGGTAACATGCTGGGTCAGGAGGGGTCATTGTAGGTGTAGTAACATGCTGGGTCAGGAAGGGTCATTGTAGGTGTGGTAACATGCTGGGTCAGGAAGGGTCATTATAGGTGTAGTAACATGCTGGGTCAGGAGGGGTCATTGTAGGTGTGGTAACATGCTGGGTCAGGAGGGGTCATTATAGGTGTGGTAACATGCTGGGTCAGGAAGGGCCATTGTAGGTAGTAACATGCTGGGTCAGGAGGGTCATTGTAGGTGTGGTAACATGCTGGGTCAGGAAGGGTCATTATAGGTAGTAACATGCTGGGTCAGGAGGGGTGGCTGTAGGTGTAGTAACATGCTGGGTCAGGAAGGGTCATTGTAGGTGTAGTAACATGCTGGGTCAGGAGGGGTCATTGTAGGTGTAGTAACATGCTGGGTCAGGAGGGGTCATTGTAGGTGTGGTAACATGCTGGATGAGGGGGGGGGTCATCAGGGTGTAGTAACGTGTTGGGCCAGGAGAGGTCAGGCGAGATCACAGGGGATGTAGTAACGTGCTGGGTCACGAGGGGTCATCAGGGTGTAGTAACGTGTTGGGTTTGGGGAGGTCAGGGAGATCACAGGGGATGTAGTAACACTTGCAAATGCAGTATCAGTGTTAGGGGCCCCCGGAGACCACTTTTCAGGACTGCCTGACCCACTCTAAACTGTGAACTGGGAATGCTAATGCGACGCTCCCTCTTATTCTCCGCGTCTCCTCCTCCTCTGTTTGCCCCCGCCTGACAGAGCCGGAGTATATTTGTGCGCGGTCTTGAACATCTTTGACGGGTTTGTGATGTCATAACTCAATATGTATGTAAAGATCTCGGCGGGTTCCTGCCACGTTGACTTTATGACCACTAAAAGTATTTCCCCGGGCGGCACAATGCTGAAGCGAGCATGCTGGCGACGTAAACGGCGGTGGCGATGCTGCACTAGCACTAGTGTCCGTAGGTGGTGGTTTACCCTGGCTGACGCCGACACACGAGGTTACTCCGGTATAAAGCTGTGTGGGACTGTGGCCGGGCAGGAAACCTTGTAAAGACCATAACATAATTTTCCGCCAATTGCTTTATGGCGAGTTACCAGGTTCTGAGCCCAACTGGTGCCGGGGGAGGGCGCCTCGGTTGGGGTTCTGGGAGCGTCTCTGATAAAACGTTCTTGTGCGGTTTTATGCGGCGTTTTATGCGTTTTATTCTTGGGTTTATGTGGCGGTTTATACGTTTTATGCGGCGTAGCGAGCGCGCGGGGCAGTTGTCGTGGAGTAATGGCCAGCATAAAAGTTTTACACGACTCTCTTACGGCCTACACCCGCCGAGTCACATGTTGGCCGGGGTGGGCGACAAAGGGCGGGCCCGTATGGCGGAGTGGGCGGCGGGGTGGGGAGGTTTAGATATGTGAGTGGGCGGTGGGGTGGGGTGGGGTAGGTTCTGACGTGAGTGGGCGGCAGTGATTTTGACGTGGAAGTGGGCGGCGGGCGGGGAGGTTCTGACGTGAGAGTGAGCGGGTATGGGAACGCTATTGATTGATGGTAAGACGTTGAGTAAATGAGTTAATGAGTGAGTGAGTGAATGAGTAGGTGGATGAACAGGTGACACACAATACTACCAGCACCGACCATAAGACATTAAATTACTGGGTCATCTAATTAAAAGAATTAGGTGGTGGCAAAACACACACACACCATCATCCCAAACATGACATCATCTTGGTTTACACAGTTCGACCCACAGGAACAACTCTTATTTATGATCGCCAACAACTGTGTTTTTTACTTGACATAAAAGGTTACAAGATTGACATACTTGAACCTGCACCTGCAGTAAAGTCTCGTATAAGAGTCTGTTTGTGATGTGTATTATGGCGAATGCTGTAACTTATTTGAACTTTATGTAATGACTGTAGTTTATTGTGAATTCGTTTTGGTGTGGTGGGAGGTTGTTGTGGTGGTGGTGGTGGTGCAAGGTGATGATGGTATTGTCAGATGTGGTGATATGATGGTGGCATTCATATGTAGGGTGACATGGTGATATTGATAGGTGTGGTGACGCACAGTAGTGGTGAGATTGGCAGGTGTGGTGACGTAGTCGGGGTATAAATAGGTGTGGCGACTTGGTGGTGATTTTGACAGGTGTGGCGACTTGGTGGTGGTATTGACAGACGTGGTAGCCAAACTAGTGGTGCGATGGCCAACCGGTGGTTTGGTGGCCGGTGGTGACAGTCTGGGTGTATCAAGAAAGTAACCGGCCACATGGGGGAGGGGGCTGGCTGTCGGGTTGTGGCCATAATTTTGGACAACTTTTTACAGTTCTAAGTCAGGCTAAGTTATGTGCCTTTGTCGGTAATGGCTGGGGCTAGGTTACCAGGACCTGCGTCTCTATATCTTGGACGCTCTTGTCTCCCCCTTCTATCTCTCTCTCTTTACCGTGATTTACCTGCGCTCTTGCTTGCTCTGTCTCTCTTCTTACAGTGATTTACCTGCTCTCATTCTCTCTCTAATAGTGATTTACCTGCACTCGCAGTAATTTACCGTCTCTTCTCTCTTCTCTCTCCCTCCCTCTCCCAATTATATTTCGTGCCCCCACTTTAACCTCGTATTGAAAGAACTAATTGATGACAACTTGCCAGACTGGAGCCTTACCGTGTTATGTCGAACTCAAATCTGGTTATTGATAAACACCGTAAATATTACATTACTGTCGGTTATTCTTGTTTTATTTTTATTATTATTATTATTAGTGTGTGTGTGTGTGTGTGTGTGTGTGTGTGTGTGTGTGTGTGTGTGTGTGTGTGTTTTATTGTTTTTGTTTTTTCACTGGACAGGAGCTAAGACTAAGCAGGGGTTGCCATGGCGTTATCGTATGTATGTTAGTCTGTTCCTCTTGTGATGTAGTTTTTAGATTGCCCCAGAGTTGGCTAGTTTATTGGGCACCCCCTACATCCTGTGCAAGGTGAAGCGCAGAAGCGTTTACAGCGCCCAATAGGGAAGCATGTTAAGTTCATGCTTGCCTTTATGACTCATGCATTAAGGGGCGAAGACTGAAGGGTCAGGTTTTGTAATGTGTGTTTGTATCACTGTTTTTCCTCGTGTACTGGATGTGTTTTATTTTTCTATGTTGCAGGTGTCGGATGCTGAGTCTGACCTCTTCAGAGCATTGAGCAAGGTGGGTCACAAAGAGAGAGAGAGAGAGAGAGAGAGAGAGAGAGAGGGGAGAGAGAGAGAAATTCCTTGCTGGGACCAAAGTGCACTCACAAAAATATAATAAAATAAAGCTGAGTGAACTGTGAACCGACTGGAGCGGAACACTGTATATTACTGGGCTGGGTGGAGTTTCGTTACAGGTAAGATGTGTAGGATATTCGACGTAATAATTAGTAGTTTATCAAAGGTGTGTCGGTGGTGATGAGCCGTCGACAGGAGTGTGAGGTTAGGACGTATTTGTGTTACATGATAATTGGTTTAGTGAATTGGATAATGAAGAGTTTAAGTAAGAGGAAAAAAGGTAAAGAAGAAGAGAAGGAGGAGGGATAAGGAGGAAGAAGAAGAAGAGGAGGAGGGGTGGGTTAGGTGAGGATGGGGGTGGAGGGTTGTTCTTTGGCGCCAGGAGTTGTGATGCGTAAAAGAGGAATAAAAGGGAGGTAACATATCCTTCAACACATCGTTTAAGCAACTTACATCTTTATGCCATTTGAGTGTCTTGGCTGTCAAGGTTAGTAAAGTGAGTGGGGGGAAAAAAAAAGGCTGGGTGAGACAGACAGACGGGAGAGGGAAGTGAAGGAAGGAGGGAAGTGAAGAAGAATATGCTCTGTTTATTCTGCCTGTCGTCACTATGATGCTAACAGTAAGGGGTGATGGACCAGATCATTAGGCCAGGGTCGAGGAGGCCTTTGAGGGGGCCGAGTTCTTCTAGTAAAATTATGAGTAAAAAAAAAAGACAATTTTTATGGGAGCGAGACTTTTTGGGGTAGTAAGTATTTTGTTGGTAAGCAGAGAGGTATCTTCCCATATTGATCGGGAGGGAAGCAAAGTAAGGCGAGTAAACTTGGGAGACATGAATTAGAGTGGAAAGTGTCGTAAAGTAGCTCGTGGAAAGGTTAATGGGGGTTGCACGGGAGAGTTGTGAGGGATGAGGGCGGCTGGCAAGGGAAGAGCCGCTCAGCCTTCCTGCCGCCCACCACCTAGGCATGGAAGGCACTAGGGCACGGCAGGGAGTGTAAGCAACTCGGTATAGAAACTTGGGAGTAAATAAAGTCAAGGATAGACGCAACGAGGAAGAGGAATGAGGTACACGTCAACAAAGGCGAGTGTCAACAGATGAAGGCGGGATAAGGAACCAGGGAGAGAGAGGGAGAGAGGATATGAAAAGTGAAGGTTGTGATGGTAGTGGAGGTCATGATGATGGTGGTGGAGGTCATGATGATGGTGGTGGAGGTCGCGATGATGGTGGTGGAGGTCATGATGATGGTGGTGGAGGTCATGATGATGGTGGTGGAGGTCATGATGATGGTGGTGGTGGAGGTCGCGATGATGATGGTGGAGGTCAGATGATGGTGGTGGTGGAGGTCATGATGATGATGGTGGAGGTCATGATGATGGTGGTGGTGGAGGTCATGATGATGATGGTGGAGGTCAGTGATGATGATGATGGTGGTGGAGGTCATGATGATGATGGTGGTGGAGGTCATGATGATGGTGGTGGTGGTCATGATGATGGTGGTGGTGGAGGTCATGATGATGATGGTGGAGGTCATGATGATGATGATGGTGGTGGAGGTCATGATGATGATGGTGGTGGAGGTCATGATGATGGTGGTGGTGGAGGTCATGATGATGATGGTGGGAGGTCATGATGATGGTGGTGGTGGGAGGCTGCGGATGATGATGGTGGAGGTCATGATGATGATGATGGTGGTGGGAGGTCATGATGATGATGGTGGTGGAGGTCGCGATGATGGTGGTGGTGGTCAGTGATGATGGTGGTGGTGGAGGTCATGATGATGATGGTGGAGGTCATGATGATGATGATGGTGGTGGAGGTCATGATGATGATGGTGGTGGAGGTCATGATGATGGTGGTGGTGGAGGTCATGATGATGATGGTGGAGGGCCGTGATGATGGTGGTGGTGGAGGTCATGATGATGATGGTGGAGGTCATGATGATGATGGTGGTGGGAGGCCGTGATGATGATGGTGTGGAGGTCATGATGATGGTGGTGGTGGTCAGTGATGATGGTGGTGGTGGAGGTCATGATGATGATGGTGGAGGTCAAGATGATGATGATGGTGGTGGAGGTCATGATGATGATGGTGGTGGAGGTCATGATGATGGTGGTGGAGGTCATGATGAAGGTGGTGGTGGAGGTCATGATGAAGGTGGTGGTATGATGATGGTGGTGGAGTCACGATGATGGTGGTGGAGCGCTGATGATGATGATGGTGGGTCATGATGATGGTGGTGAGGTCATGATGATGATGGTGGAGGTCAGGATGATGATGATGGTGGTGGAGGCCGGATGATGATGGTGGTGGAGGTCATGATGATGGTGGTGGTGGTCGCGATGATGGTGGTGGTGGAGGTCATGATGATGATGGTGGAGGTCTGATGATGATGATGGTGGTGGAGGTCATGATGATGGTGGTGGGAGGTCATGATGATGGTGGTGGAGGTCATGATGAGTGGTGGTGGAGGTCATGATGAAGGTGGTGTCATGATGATGGTGGAGGTCACGATGATGGTGGTGGAGCTCATGATGATGATGATGGTGGAGGCCATGATGATGGTGGTGGTGGAGGTCAGTGATGATGATGGTGGAGGTCATGATGATGATGATGGTGGTGGCGGATGATGATGGTGGTGGAGGTCATGATGATGGTGGTGGTGGGCGATGATGGTGGTGGGAGGTCATGATGATGATGATGGTGGTGGAGGCCGGATGATGATGGTGGTGGAGGTCATGATGATTGGTGGTGGAGGTCATGATGATGGTGGTGGTGGAGGTCGTGATGATGATGGTGGAGGTCATGATGATGATGATGGTGGTGGAGGTCATGATGATGATGGTGGTGGAGGTCATGATGATGGTGGTGGAGCATGATGATGGTGGTGGTGGAGGTCATGATGATGGTGGTGGAGGTCATGATGATGGTGGTGGTGGTGGAGGTCATGATGATGATGGTGGTGGAGGTCATGATGATGGTGGTGGAGCGCATGATGATGATGATGGGGAGGTCATGATGATGGTGGTGGTGGAGGTCATGATGATGATGGTGGTGGAGGTCATGATGATGATGGTGGTGGAGGTCATGATGATGATGGTGGAGGTCGCGATGATGATGGTGGTGGAGGTCATGTGATGGCGGTGGTGGAGGTCATGATGATGATGGTGGTGGAGGCTGCGATGATGATGGTGGTGGAGGTCATGATGATGGTGGTGGTGGAGGTCATGATGAAGGTGGTGGTCATGATGATGGTGGTGGATGATGATGATGATGGTGGAGGTCATGATGATGGTGGTGGTGGAGGCCGGATGATGATGGTGGTGGAGGTCATGATGATGATGGTGGTGGAGGTCATGATGATGATGGTGGAGGTCATGATGATGATGGTGGTGGAGGTCGGGATGGCGGCATGATGATGGTGGTGGGAGGTCATGATGATGGTGGTGGAGGTCATGCTGATGGTGGTGGTGGAGGTCATGATGAAGGTGGTGGGTCATGATGATGGTGGTGGAGCGCATGATGATGATGGTGGAGGTCATGATGATGGTGGTGGTGGAGGCCGCGATGATGATGGTGGTGGAGGTCATGATGATGATGGTGGTGGAGGCCGCGATGATGATGGTGGAGGTCATGATGATGATGGTGGTGGAGGTCATGCTGATGGCGGTGGTGGAGGTCATGATGATGATGGTGGTGGAGGTCATGATGATGATGGTGGTGGAGGTCATGATGATGATGGTGGTGGAGGCCGCGCTGATGGCGGTGGATGTCATGATGATGGTGGTGGAGGCCGCGATGATGGTGGTGGTGGTCATGATAATGGTGGTGGAGGTCATGATGATGGTGGTGGAGGTCATGGTGGTGGTGGTGGAAGTCATGATGATGCTGGTGGTGGTAGTGGTGTTGGCAGTGATGGAAAGTGGCGGTAATGGCTGTGGTGGTGGTGTACATGATGCAAGACAACAAGCAGCGTGGCAGCAGTGAGGGCAGCCAACAAGGTGTACACTCCCCCCTTGTACATTGTTCATCATCGGCGCCTCTCTCATGATGGGCTGATGGTGGCGGCACACAGCTCTCACTCTCCCGAAATACCTCACGTTCCTGTGTGTTTCATGATCCCGGCCTTTGTCTTACTACAGTATATAAAGGGTCGCTGAAATCTGGACAGTTCTTTTTTCGGTGAGTTTATGTAACTATGATCCGGTGCTTGGGAATCTAGGTCTGGGCTTCCTATACAAGCACTGTGTATACTCCCATACATATGTTGGCCAAAAGAGAGGAGTACAGTAGATAGTTAATATAATTTACGCTTATGTTAGCTAATTCTGGAGATTTATACTGTTAAGTTTATCACATCTAGCCACGCGTGTCTCAGCACTAAATACTGATATAAACGAGGTTACACTTAGTAGCGGGCGTCACCTGGGTCACCCTGGTACAGTATCTCGGAACGTTCGACATATCAGACAGCGATTTGCTAGTTGTTGACTGGCCAAATGATCCCTGGTCCTTAACATAACCCAAGCCCACACACCCCAATGGAGCCCTGACTCAGATTTGTTTTTGTTTATATTTGGGTCAGGTAGAACCACGGCCCATTTAACCTGCACCTAATTCGATAAGAGGTGGTCAGTGTGCCTCTAAGGTTATCGTCCGCTCCCATGCCATTAACTGAGGGAGTTGTAGCATAGCCAGACTCCAACCAGTAATTGGGAGGGGTGGACGTCTGAACAGCAGCGTGCGTGTCCAGATGTCAGTTTTATGAGTTTCATATTAGCAGGTCTGCTAGCGTCACCGTTTTTTATTAGGTGTGAGAGAACGTGTGTATTTATGCTGGTGTGTGATACTGGGGATCATTAAATGTAATTTACCTCCTGTGAATTTATCCAGTGCTTATAATGTAACGAGGAATGAGACTAATAGCGTGCGGGGATGTCATTTG